ACAAGAAATAAAAATTTGATAAAACACTGTTCCGTTATAATTCACTGTTTGATGAATGTTGGTTGTATAACAATAGTAAATATAAAAAGTGTCGAAGAATTTTATAATTTGATTTTGTACATCGAATACTTTTTCTTCGGCTTACAACGATTGCTTCAGCAGAACTGTGCAAGTACGGAGTTTCTCGTGTACGAGTACTGACCTCTTGAGTACGAGGGCCAACTGTTCGGAGCATGAGTACGCGTTAATGTTAACGAAAAGTGTATAGGAATGTTCCTTTTCTGGTCTCTTCAAAACTCTGGATAATTTAATGGCTTGCGCAATATCAAATTTTGTATTCACTTTTTGTCAATGTTATTTAATGTACAAAAATTGTACGAAGAATAAAATTTTTAAAAAGGTCAGATTTTTTTATTGTAACCCTTTGTCTACTGATGGATGATGTATGATCAGAGCAGTGCTGGGAATATCGAAAAGCCTAGCTGTTTCGAAAGGAAGACATGGATGACAAAAGAAAAATTTGACTCTTTCTCCGAATTTTCGATCGACCCCCTGCTTTGACCCTTTCGCTTTGCTCCTATGTAATGAAACTCTGTGTTTGACACGAAATATTTCAGTTTGATAATGTTCTCTAATTATTTTGAACGTTCAATCAATATGGGAATGGGCAAATTAAAAATTTCAAAATAGTTATGCTGACAAAAAGTAGATAAACAAAGCAATTAGAAAACCGATGAGTACATCATCTTACTCATTATGAATTTAAATTTGGCGTTTGACTATATCTTAATAAATCAAATATTCGAAAAATGCAGAAATCTTTGGCACAGGGTTGGAAATAATATTTTACCATGCGAGTATCGCAATAATTTCAAATAGAGTATATAATGAGTTCTATGTCAAATGAAAGTTCGTCAAAAATGGAGTTTATTATTACTAAACAATAAGGATTATGAAAACTTTTCAATGTCAAATTCAGAAAATTTCTATAATTTTACTCCCTATCAACAGTGAAAATTTTCTTTCAAGGGGCAGTTCAAACTAGATCTAATTCAAAATGATGATTATCACAAAGCTATAGGCATCTGGTCTAAAAATATTGCAAAAATTACCAAGAATGAAGCTAAAATGCATGCCATGAAAGATGAAACAAAATTGTTACCACAAAAGAACACTAAAAAAACGCTTTAGATATTTTGACAAGTATGAAAAGAAACATTAAGTTATTTGAAACTCTTTTATGTTCATATCCATCTTGTTTGCATACTATAAAGAATTCTCATAGTCGTCATACGGATTATTGATTATATTCATCGAATCTTAGAAAATATTACTTTGTGGTATTTATCATTTTGAATTAGATCTAGTTTGAACTACCTCTTGAAAGAAATTTTTCAATGCTGGTAGGGAGTAAAATTGTTGAAATTTCCTGAATTCGACATTGAAAAGTTTCCATAGTCCTTATTGTTTAGTAATAATAAACTCCATTTTTGACGAACTTTCATTTGATATAAAATTCATTATATATCCTATTTGAAATTATTGCGATACTCGCATGGTAAAATATTATTTCCAATCCTGTATAACCCGGGATCAGAAAAGCAACAATTTTTGATGAATAAGCCTCATGAAGTCAGAAGAAGTACTGGTTTTTGAAAGAGAGATCAACAACCTGGGAATCATGTTTATTTTTGCTTCTATGACCTTGTCTCGTTCCTATTCTACTCTATAATAAGAATCAATAAAAATATGCTATACATTTATTGATATAATTACGTACCTTTATTTGGAATAGTTATTCAGTGTCGTGGCAAATCTATTCAACGAATGGGACTAAACGAATGTGCAAATTTTTTACATTGACAATATGCGTGACCGCTTGATGATAGTCGAGCGAAAAGAAAGCGACGAATGACCATTCTTTATTCTCTGTTTCAACAAAGAGAGAGAAAAAAAAAGATACATGTATCGATCAAAGGAAGAAAAAAAAGGAGGTGGATGAGCGAAAAATATAACTCAATTGTCCGTCTATATTTATCAGCTGCTTGTTGTTCTATATAGAAAAAAGAATGTAATTGTAATATTGATCGAATAGGCACTTTTCCGCCTTTAACTCTGACGCAAACTAATTGATGACCGTTAATTCGAGACAAAAATAACTGTAATATTTTTTGAACACCGAAAAACGCTATTCTTTATTATTCATAAAAAGCGTTTGGCAGGTTACTTATTAATCACCTTTTGATCGACAATGAAAATTCGCTACGAATCGATTATAAAATTAATTTCAACTCGTTTAAAGAACTTTTTATGTATCCATAACGAAGTTAATTTGCTAATCAAAAGAGAGGCTAACATCAAACATTAAATAGCTTATAATGCTAACAACATATCAATAATCTTATACGCGTACAGCATCCAATGGAAAAATTAAAAAGAAACGAGACAATCGGTTGCATAGTCAAAGAAACTGATGACACTGCGACGCCAGTTGATATCGTCTCAATGGTTGATGCTCACTTATCTTGAAGTCAGCGACTGAGATGGAGTTGATCCTCACAATCGACCCATTTCATTCAACATCAGTCCGGCCTTTAAATCGATAGATTAAAATATAAACAAAATCTGTAAAGAAGTGTGAATGGTCATAGATCGTAATTTTTGCTTTACTAATCTATTAAGAAACAATCAGTACATACTGGTAGGCCAATATCTATCGTTAGGTGTGGGTGTGGGTGTGGGGGTGTGGGTGCGGGTGTGTGGTTGTGGGTGTGGGTGTGGGTGTGGGTGGGCGTAGGTGGGGTGTGAGTGTGGGTGGGTGTGGTGTGGGTGTTGGCGGGTGTCGGTGTGGGTGAGGGGTGTGGGCCTGTGAATGTGCGTGGTTTTCTCCGAAACACACACCCACACCCCACATACAGCCACACCCGCCCACACCCACGCTCACACCCTCACATGACATACACTGTACTTCAATACGATTCTTAGACATTTTGTTCAACATCTTCAGCGTGACATCCACAACCTTTTCTAAATATTTTTGTTCATTTGAAAACTTAGAACCGAATTTTATAGACCCTCTTCTTCTAAATCTTAGACAACGATGCGTCGTGTCTTTTTTAATGCATGAACCATTCGCATCGAGACAATTATTTAATTGATGCACATGCCTTCTCTTTGTTTATTTTCGCGGAGAGTCAATGACTCTGCCTTGTACAAGAGATACTTGAGCAGCTGCTCTCAGTTGCGCAGAAAGGATTCTATAGGAGAATGGAGAATGACGCCCGTTGTTGACAGTCAGCAATGGATTTTTTCCAACATGAAAAAAAGGTACTATGTTAATATTCAGGTGAAGTGATGACCAATCAGCAAATGTTGACCACGATGAAAATTTCGTAGACCAAAATGCTTCTGTATTTGCTAAAACAAGTCTGATTCACATTATGCAGAAGACAGACAAAACACGTTTCACATGAAAACGAACGAAGTGTTCTGTGGATATTCCTTGAGAATAATTCCATTTTTCTATATAATCGGCATCAACAACTATTTTCCAAGCAAATTTCTAAAAATAAAACATTTTTCCAAAGCGATTTCGAAAGCTAAAACTAGACGACACTGACCAAGAAATTTTAAAAATCAATATCAATGTTCAGAAACATAGCGTGTGGGTGCGGCCTAGGTGTGTGGTTTTGATCTTCTTACGAATCTTAACCATCCACGCACAACACCCACATCCACACCCGAAGATGAAATGCATGTTCTTTCAATCATCAGAAAAGATCTATATCAGCTCAACAGTAAATACCGTTTGTTTTCATACGATAGATCGGTGAAATCGATGAGAGAACTATTGTAATCATCTTGTTTACTATGGCATTTCAACAGCCATGTCAGGCGGCATGTGTGTCTGATCCTTCTCATACTCTTGTCGGCAAGTGGTAAAAATGCGACTTATTTTATTGAAATAGAAAAATTCAAGCATGAAGTTTCTTCAAAGTCATTTCTGTATCAATCAATTGTTGATGAACTCGTGTAGTAATGATATTTTCAAAACTAATTTCGCTGAATTTTAATGTCTTTACTTCGATGTGTTTCTGAAACTCACTAATCATCATGTTTAGAGATGAAGAACAACGTAAAACATTGTAGCCAATCTTCTTCTTCTTCATGGTGCTTAGGACATTTTCTGCTGTCTTTCCATAGGGACATCCATCAGGCCAATGATCTCCACTGGTGCTATATGTTTTCCCGTGCGGTGGCGAATCAAGAACATGGAAGAGAAGATGATCGGATTTCTCACGCCTTTTCAGATTACAAGCAGCATCTAGACCATCCAAAACGGTCTCAGCAGTATCTCCTCCAGAATCAGCTTTCAATGTCTTCACATATTCAATTGCCGCTCGATGATTAGTAAATTCACATCGATGACACACATAATCGCCCTCGGGTTCATGATCGCGATTATCAACGATACCAAATTGAAATGTACCGCTTTTTTTGATTTCCTTCAGTTTTATCTCATTTTCTTGAATGATACGCATAATAGTGGATTTTACTTGCCCAATGTATGATGCCATTGATCCTGTGGTATCAATCACAAAACAAACATCAACTCCTTCATAGCTATCTTCAGTAAGATGTTCATTTTGACATTCAAAAGCATGTGAATCACTATGCCATGCACCCAATGTACAAAACCCTTTCGCTGAATCTTTGATAATCACATTATTTTTATCTCGTGGTGCATGTTCACTACAGAAGAAGCTGTATGAATCGATCAACTTTCGATCAACATCAGTCACTGGTGGTGGCCATCTAATTCGAGACCAATAAGCAGAACATAAGATCTGATCATACTTCTTGGCACTTGCTTCATCTACTCCATAATAATAAACATCATTCGAATGCTTGGCTTTTGTTCCAAGTTTCTTTTCATAACAATTCTCTCCTCCAGGACATTCGACAAGATGATAATGACCTCGACCACGACGTTTACACGACACAGAACAGTTCTCAGGCTGAGATGATTCACCTATCTTGTATCTTCGTATGACATTTTCATTTGATTGAATCTCGATCTGTTCTAATGGATTAGTACTCGTGAAAACATGTTGATCTTTGTTTCGATGTAATGTCTGATGCTATCCTGTGTGACCATAAGCTTCACGGCAGAATGTATTACAATCTTGGCATCGTTCTCGACATGTGTGTTGTCCACCACAACGATGTTCTTTGTTACTCTGGCCATGTGAATATTGTGATGGAGGAATGACATTTTCACATTCACCTCGGATCTCATTTACTTCGATGTGATCATAGAGAAACTCTTCACCTGATTGAGTTTGCCAAGTTTTCTGTTGCGTTTTGTATTCTTGTTTAGAAACACCAGGAGTGTCACAAATGACAAGACAACGATGACTTGAACCACATAGATGTCTCTTCATCGATTGTGTTTCTGTCCCTTTGAGGATTTGAACCAGTTCAGTTGTTGAATCATGAGCATGATCCTCAGTAACACATTTTCTCCCGCATGAGAACATACAATCTTTCCAACAGACTGTGCTTGAACATCGATGTTGATCATGCTCTTGGAAGTCAAATGGAATCGGACAGGGTTCTTGGCACATGGCACATGCCTTTGGACATTGATGAAGACGTTCACATTGATGATGCTCCGGCGTTTGATGTTGATAAGGATAATGACATTGATTAGGCAAATCACCACGAAGTTGACAGATTTGACATTTGTGTTGGCACACATGGCCAGCATCACATTTATGTACACCTGAATGACCAACAGATAACATACACGGTGCTGGATCAGATCGACCCTCCATCGAACAGATTTGACAGCTACCGGAACATTTATGATCAGTTTTACAGCTGCAATTACGCTGAGCTGCATGTTCTAATTGAGCGATTTCCTCTTCTATATCGAAATAATCCTTGTGTGTGGACAAAATTTGTTTCAGCTGATGTGTCTTCTGTTGAACTTCATGGTACTTTTCTCCGATCTTTTTCAAAGGAATTTCATAATCTTTCGAATGAGGATATTGACATTGCCGTTGTTTTTTAGTGAGCAAATTCATTTTATCCATCAGTTGGTCACAGTTGTTTTTTAGATTGGCTATTTGGTCGTTGATTGGCTTCAAACTATTTGATGAAGACCGATGATCCGTGATCAGATTTTCGACTTGAACCAATTCATTTAATCTTTGCAATGTTTGATTAAGTTTCTCTTCAGTATTCATCAACGATGGACGAAGTTCATTTACTATCTGATATCTTTCAGTCAGATCTTTGATTGATTGGTGAAGTATTTCTCCTTTAATTTTTTCAGTCTTGAGAGTGAGATCAAGAGTGTTGATCAATCGATTCCTTTTATCGTATTCATTTTCCATTGATCGTAATGCATCACTGATTTGTGTAATTCGTTCATTTAAATCATGGATATTTTGACGATGTTGTTCTAATCGAGTCTTGTCTTCAACATTCGATGAAGACTGATTGAGAATCGTTTTCAATAATTCATTATCATTATACAATAATGATTTTTAGGCCAATAAATCATTTAATTCTGCTTTTTTCTCTTTGATATTGTTATTTATATCCGTTAACAATTTTTCTTCGGCTTCAATTTCTATCTCTGCTTTTGTATATTCTTGAATCGTGTCTTCTTTCACTGACTTCATCTTCTGAAATTTTGTTAATTGTTTTTCAATCTCTAAATTGTTTTCTTCAAAACATTGCAGAACTTTCAGCAGCCGTTGAGCCTCTTGAGTTTCATCACTCTCACTGTGGCGGTCAGCAATAACAACAGAAGTACCAGTGATTGACTCCGTTTGTAATCCATTGATATATTTTTGAATCTTCTCTTGATCACTGATATTTGTTTGACTCTCTCGTTCGATCTTCTGTTCTAATGTCTTTTTTTCAGCGTCCATTTGTTCCCATTGATGTTGTAGATATCCCTTTTCTTTGTTTCGTTCACCAACTTCAGCTGCTCTTCGATCGTTTTCAATCTTTATTTCATTCATTTGTTTTTCCAAATTATGGATACATGCCTTCACCGTAGTTAATTCATTATTGTGATTGACCAAATCTTCTGCGATCTTTTCGAGACATGATTGTATATTCATACGTCTTTGGACCACATTGGTGACATTTGTATTCATCAATATAATCATTTCATCTAAGACTTCATTTTTGGTATGATCATGATATTTGATGATATCTGTCTCAATCGCCGGATCTTCAGCATAGAATCGCTTCATCAATTCTTTCTGTTCAGTTGATTGATAGCATTGATGATTAAACGATGTCTTAATTTCATCTTTCACCATTTGGTCAATCTTCTCGATATCATTTTCTGTTGACATTAAATCCTTCACTTTCTTCTCCGTCTCGTCTATCATTCTCTTTAACTCATCGATTTCATTCTCTTTGACAACCGTTTCTGATTCGTTTTGATCAATTTGACTTTGCAATTCTTCTTTGTCCATCAAATATGTCAATTCACTTTCTAATCGAACTTTGTCTTTGTGTAATTCATCTTCTTTATACTTCGCTTCCTTCAGCTCTTCACTTAATCTATCTCTTTCATCATCGTTCATCTTTGTTTTTATCTGTGATTGTAACTTTATCAAATTTTGTTTTTTTTCTTTTAACAATTTCTTCGTATTTTCTGTATGTTGAGCATTATTCACCCATTTCAAGTCACACATCGAACATGTCTTCAAACATATTCTTAAATTGAAGGAATTGATGTATTCTTCCATTTTTTCGAAGAACTTCATTCGTTTGTCTCGAATAGAATCATTGTCTTCGGGAAATGTCTTCTTGAAACATGTCTGTACCAATTTTTTCACTTTGCCATGACAATAAGTCAATACTTCTGGAAGAATACTATCTAAGAACACCAAAACACCATTCTTTTTTTTCTTTTGTTTCATCAGTAAAATAAAGAGATTGAAATAGAAATTGACACAGTTTTTCATAATTATCTACCATTGATTCTTCCTGTAGTTGCAAATCTTGATGTTTTAATTGCAAAGAGTAAGTCACCCCTTCAAACACTTTTTCGATCATTTGTGACTCGCAATCTTCTGTATCAAAATGTAACCAAAGCTTTTTCATTTTCTCTTCCAGTTCAGATAATTTCAGCTGAATTTGAATTTCATCTGAATCCTTGAAATCATCTGTGTATAACTGAACTAGAAGAATTTTCATTCGATCACTTATGTCTTTGCCATTGTTCCATCGTTTTTTGTCGGATTGACCAATAAGTGATTCTCTTAGTTTCATAATTTCATAATCGAAATTGACATTTTCGAAATGATGTAATGGTTGAATGAGGAATGTGTTGGAAAATAGCTGTTCAAGAAAACTGCATTGTCCTCTCCTTTGTAGGTCCTTGAATTTCTTCTCTGCTGCATCAAGTGATTCATCCGCATTATTATCACTTATATCTCTCACAGCAACCAACAGACATCCTTGAAATAATTTCTCATTCTTGCCAATCTTTTGCGCAGCTTGTGATAAAAAACCAAATAATCGATCCTGAAATCGACTAAATCCAAGATCTTGACTAAGAATCGTCATATCACACATCGCAGCTAAGAAGGCGATCAGTTTGATCTCTTCATCTTCTGTTCTTTGATCACTAAATAATCCTTCATGATCTAACACAAGATGCTCTTGACCATTACAGCAAGCATAACTCATCCGGATACCATCAGTACATCGACCGGCAGCAACAGCAAATCTTGTTCCAAAGATTCGATTCATCAGATAACTTTTCCCTGTAGATTGTCGACCAATCACACCGACAATACGAACACTATGATCAATGTCGTTCAAAATTTGATTCAAATAAGAGAAAGAGATCTCTCGTGTTTTCATCCCGATGCTAAAGGCTTTCGATAAGAGATGATCCATTCGATCTCGTCGACCATTATTTAATGGAATCAATGTGCCCATTTCAATGGTACATAACTGTAATGGAACTCGACTATAGATAATTTGAGAGATTTGGTCAGCATTTCGAGAGTCCAGCAATAACTTTGGAATATCATTCTGAATATGTAAATTAGCAGAGAGGGACAGATCGCGAAAATATTGAAGAATACGATCACGAAAAATCTCCCGATCAGAGGGAACAATAAAATGATATTGAGTCTTCTGCGCAGAATCTAATCGAGCGAAATGAATTTCTCCTCGTTTGATCACATCTAACAAACGATTTCCAATGTATTCGTTGTTTTCTTGAGAAAGATCAGTCCAACTCTTTTGACGTTCAATACGAGCATCAGATATGAGATTTTGAACAGCATAGACTTCATATTGTTGACTATTGAATAAAACACAATATGTCGTCACTAGATCAGTGAAAATTTGCATTCGGCATGGATTGAAATGGTCTCCGAGTTTGATACTTTGAATTTGTTGATTATTTCGATCAATGATATCGACACAAGACTTCGATTGAAAGAAAAACACGGGACTTCTTTCCCCAATGGTTTGAACATGCTCGTACAGCTCATTATTGTCAGCAACAAAGTTCGATTCATAGGTTTTACCATCTTTAGTTTTCAAGAGTAAATCGATCGAAGTGAAATTCTCCTTTGATAGATCCATCGAATAAACGTTCGACTTCGAATCGATAAGAATGAGATAATCTTGTGGCACAGTCAAAGCCATACTTTTGATATCTGCCGGTTTCGTCGCGGCAGTCACCATCTGTAGGGCATCGCTTCTCTCCCTATGTCCAAATGCATTCACAATACATCTTGTCACTGCACCTGTCTCGATGTTATATAGAACTAATGTTTGTGATGTGGAATTACATGCATAAGTAATACGGATGTTCATTAGAGAATAATCTGTAATCTTGCGAAGAATAGTCTTCTTCAGATAGAATATGCTAAGCCCAGAGGTAGAACTAATTGTTTTATTATTGACATTTGGTCGACGAAGAACAAGAATATCACCTGTACCATCATAAGTTTTGAAGCAATCAACAAATTGCATCCGATCAGCAAAGGTTCGACGATCAGATTCAGATAACTCAACAATATTCAGTAATTGAGCTAATGAACTAAAAGCGATTTGATTCGTATCATTACATTTAATGGTGAGATCTGAGACAATCTGTGCAGTATTAGAAGCAGTGTAAGACAACTGATAAATATCGTAATAAACTTCAAATTGATTTTCCGATTTCAGATCTGAGAGGATCGTGTTGATGAGATCCTCTCGAAGTGCGCAAATTTTATGCTTTTCCTCGAAAGCTTTCAGCTTACTAATGAGGTAATTTGTGTCGTCTAATGTGATAGAAGTCTTGGATTTCTTTTTGGGTTGGTTTTGATCAATAATTTCAACGATCGTTTGAGCGAAATCTACTGCCAATATATTTATGTTTGGATTGGTCAGCCATTCTGTTATCTCGCGATACAATCGTTGTCGAGTGTGATCCGAAATGTCTACATGACTCGACCAACGCCAGCCTAAAAGTGTTGTATCACCAAGCAGAGCTCTGATTAAAGATTTTCCATTGTTTTCGGCGCTTTGCCTTTGATTTTGATAAGATGTGATGCAACATTGAATAGTCGAAATAATGCGATATTTTTGATCTTGTGACACTTGAATTTGACATTCTTGGCAAACATCAAGAATGAAACGTAAGTTCAAATTGTCTAAATCAATTCTTTTTTGTAAATTTACTTTCAAATTTAGGAATTTCTTCACTGCATTTCGATCCTGTTCTCCGAATGTGCGATGAAGACAGAATGTATGTGGACTGATATCACTTTCAAAGACATGTTGACATCGATCACCAAATAGAGATTTCACATTCTCTCGATCTTCGAGTTGAATTCGTTGAGCTGGTTGTACTTCAGTTAGAATTGTCTTCACTTGCCGATATACCCGTTGGCGATGAACCCGACCATGAAATGAATGTTTATCAGTGAAATTAGTAAAGAAATGGTTGGACGGACAGATGAAAATATTTGAAGAAATATCTTGGAGAAATCGTTGCATCACAACGGTGAAATAGCAGGATTTGTCTGCTTGAGTTCCAGCTGGATCATCAGAGGAGATTAACGAAAAGACAATTCTCCGGTCATTATAAATCGTCCATACTACAGGCATATGATTACCATCACCATTAAAACACTCCTCGATCTGTGAATCAGATCGAGGAAATACTGATTTCAGATAAGTCTCCAGAGCATTTTGTTCGCCATAGATACCAAAGAGTTCGACTTGTGAAAGATCTAATCCATGTAATATTTTGACTGTTTCATGAATGCCTCGTTGATCAGAAGCAATCTTGAACACTTCTTCACTGGACGAAGAATAATTTTCAACGTAGAATAAACGATGAACTTTAGTGTGTTGAATAGACGAACCGATTGTAGTCATTTCTCAACCTGAAAAAGAAATAAGGGATAATTTTATTTTGTCACTGAACAATACGAATCAGTCAAATGATTGATAGGAAATACGTCATAATCAGATTTATTCACAATCGAATTCTACTGTTTCATAAGGGTCTACCGCAGTAAAAAATGATGGATTGGAACTAATTATCATCTGATTTCTCTGCAGAAAAATCAAAATTGAAATCGGTTGAGATCCTCGAAAACCCCGAATAATTTCAATTGAAATCCAAGTTCTCCCTCAATTGTAGATTTAAATGGGTTACAATCTTGATTTTGTTGCAAAAAATTGGATGATAATCGTAAATAATCTTTTAAAATCGTGTCATTTTTCGTTGGGTACGACTGTCGGTTCAAAGACAGTTAGTTGCTACAGTAATTAGCATCAGGAGACATCGATCGAATACCTAGGATACAGTTACATTTTAATTCATTACAATCAATCAGTTCTTACACGAGAGACAGAGGGTGAGAAGTATTCAGGTAATTACTGTCCATATGTGACCCTGATAATGAATCAATGAAGATTCATGTTTTACTCTCCGCAAAAACAGCTGAACTTCTACTTCCAGTAATATTTCATTACAAAATATTGGTTTATATATTTTCCTTTTGTGCGCAAAACTGAGCATGAGGCAAATGCAGTTAAGGGAAACTTAATACTCGGTCCAAAAGTTCAAGATCCGATATTTGGGACCATTCTAGTGCATTTATTATCGTGATTTGGTTGCTGAATTTTCGAATAAAAGGAAAATATATAAACCAATCTTTTTTATGAGATACTACTGAAAGCAAAAGATCAGCTGTTTTTGCGGAAAGAAAAACATGGATCTTTATTGATAAGGCTGTAGGTGTGGGTGTCGGTGTGTGCGTTTGGGTGTGGGTGGGTGTGAGGTGTGAGGGTGTGCGTGGGTGTGGGTGTGGGTGTAGGTGTGGGTGTGGGTGTGAGTGTGAGTGTGAGTGTGGGTGTGGGTGTAGGTGTGGATGTGGGTGTGGGGTGGGGGTGGGTGGGTGTGGGTGGGGGTGGGTGTGGGTGGGAGGGGGTGGGGGTGTATGG